TTCACCAATAAAGGTGAACTGATTCTTTCTGAAAGGCTCTCTTGGGAGAGGATTGTACTGGGGAACATTTGATTGGGGATTATATGGAGCTTGGAAAGGATGGACATTTATAGGAGGTGGAGCTCGGTTTTGTGTATAATGTTGTGGCTGCGTGTAAGGTTGCGCGTTCATCACCGCATAGGGAGGTGGTGCCATGGCATAAGCATAATCTTGAAGTGGATAATAATGTTGAGGGACCTCAGGAAGCATATATGATTGGCTGAATGACATGCGGGCCCCCCTCGAGCTGGAAGCCATCATGACTCCTTTTTCTCTCTCGTTTCCATTTATCAAATCCTTTGAACCATTTTGAACATTTGATGATGTGCCTTTAAAAGCAACATGACTCAAGATTCGACCCGTTTTTAGCCCACTTTCTATCATCTCCCCAATTTTGATAGCCTCAACAAACGGCTTTCCCATAGCTGACATCATGTTCTGGAAGTAGTCCGCCTCTTGGGCCTGTAGAAAGACCGTGACCATTTCAATTTCGTCCATTAGAGGCTTTACCCTGGCAGCTTGCTTACGCCATTTGACAGCATATTCACGAAAGCTTTACGTGGTTTTCTTTTTCAAATTGGACAAAGAGTTTCTGTCGGGAGCGATGTCCACATTATATTAGAACTGGCGGACAAAATCTCGAGCCATATCGTCCCACACATGCCAATGGGTAATTTCTTGATCCGCATACCACTCAGAAGCAATTCCGGAGAGGTTTTCCCCAAAATAGGCCATTAGCAGCTCCTCTTTTCCACTAGTATCCCTCATCTGGTTACAATGTCGTTTTAGGTGAGCGACCGGGTCTCCGTGCCCGTCGTACTTTTTAACTTTTGGCATCTTGAAGCTAGCTGGCAAGTGGACATGGGGAAACATACAGAGTTTAGAGTATGAGACACTTTTTGGCCACTCAGACCTTGCATGTTTTTCAGGCTTTGTTCCAGGCTCTTCATCTTCCGAGCCATTTCCTCTTGCTCAGGATTTTTAACAACCGTTTTTTGCTCCACCAAGAGATCATATTGTGGAGGTTGAGTGAAAGAGTATGGGGTCACATATGCTATTTCTGATTGAAGCTGTGGACCCTGAAAGGTGAACATTGGAGGATCAACATACGGCCATGGTAAAGTTGGTTATATTATAGTGCAGACTGGTGCTGTAGAGAACAATATTGGAGGTGCCCAGGAAACTGGAGCCTGGGGGCGAACCACAGAATGCATGCCAGGATCATTGAACGACATTGGAGGGTGCCCGCATGGGATGAGCGAGTTGGGCACATGGGCATTGGTAACCTCACCTGACCTGGGGATCAACTCAGGGAACCCAGGGATTGCACTTGGCGGTTACCTACCATTAGACCAGGCGTCTCACATTTCCAATATGCGGAGACGCAACATCTTATTCTCTTCAGCAGGTGCTGATTCTAGCTGCAGAATAGCCGATGCCGGGCCATCCTCAAAATCGATGATTGGTAGATTGCTTGCGGAGGCCATCTATGCCTTTGGATCTTGTGAAGGAAGGGAGGCTAGACTACCAACAAAACCAATCACCAAAATCTGGCTAGTTTGCACACCCAACAACCTTGTTAGTTTTGAGACGCTTAATAGATAGGAAATTGCACCTTTGGATGCAATGCACCTAAAGAGTTAAACGTTTCTACCATGTGTTTGAACGGTTGCATGTTCATCCCAGCCTTAACTAACCCCTTTCACTCTGTACCTCTTTTCTTCATTTCTGCCTCTCTTTAATCACTCTTGAGTTTTTTCATCTCGTTGCTGCCGCTCTTTTATTTTTGGCATTGTCTTTTTCTCTTTTTGTTTGTCACTTTTTATTTCTCGTCGCTCCTTTTTTTTCGCTCTTTTCTTTATTTTTCACTCAATAATTTTTTTTTCTTTCTCTTTTTTTTTTCAAATTATTTTTCACTTAGTTTTATTTTATAGCTATGATCGAATCCGATGGGGATTGCCTACGTATAATGACGCGACATGAATCGGATCTTGCAAGTTCGGGAAGATCAAGAATGAAGTTTATAAACTAACTCTTTTTTTTGGTTTTTATAAAACTCAGACCGTGAAAGCTTTAAGGCAAAAGGAAAATATTTTTTAGTTTTTGATTTTTTTTTTGTATTTTTTTGGAATTTTCGAAAACAAAATTGCTTTAAAAGAAGAAAGGAAATATGTTTTTGATTTTTGATTTTGATTTTGATTTTATTTTTGAAAGAAAGACTTCTAAAAATTCCTTTTCTTTTGAACTGAACTTTGGGAATTTCAAAAGTAAAAGGAATTGTTTTTTTGAATTTCTATTTGTTTTCTCTTATTCTAAAGAAGAAATATATATANGAAAATATTTTGGATTTGTTTTTTTTGTTTTTTAATTTACAAAAGTACTTCTAAAGAAAAATAAAAATATTTTTGGACTTCAATTTTTTTTAAAAAAAATTTAATTTTTTAAAGAAAGACTTTTATACAAGGAAAAGAATTTTTATTTTTTTTATTCTTTTTTGTCTGATGTTTTTTGAATTTTTGGGAAAAGACTTCTTAAAAAGGTAGATTTTTTTTTTGAATTTTAATTTGACTTGTGGATTTTCGAAAGAAGAACTTTTAAGAAAACATTTCGGATTTCTGAGTTTCTCTTCTTTCTTTTTTTTCATCTTTTTTAATTTACGAAAGTACTTTTAAAGAAAAGCAAAAATATTTTTGGACTTTTGTTTCTCAATATTTTATGGACATTTACAAAAGAAAGACTTCTAAAAAGAAAAGAGTATTTTTGGATTTTTGTTGCTGATTTTTTTTGGATTTCTTTTGAAAATGAAGGAAACCCGTATGGATTTTGATTTTTATTGATTTTTTTTATTTTATTTCTTTTTCCGTATGAAAGACTTCAGAAAGAAGGAAACTTTTTTTTGAGTTTAAAAATCCTTTTTTTTGACATTTCTACGGAAATGCTTCTAAAGGAGGAATTACAGGAAAATATTTTTGGATTTTGTTTAGAAATTGGGGCCGGAACCGATGAGGTTTGCCTACGTATCTCACACCCGGCGAGAATCAGACCCGCATAGTTCAGTCAGTTTTGACATAATTGGAAAAACATGATATTAACTCACTCTTTTTTTTAAATGCATTTTCCTTTTTTCTCTTTTTTTTTTCAAAAGATTTTGGCAGAGTTTCGAGGCATTTTCAAATACCGAGGTTTTCAGAACCGGGTGAATTCTCTATCGTACCTCACTCTTGGTTTTTCTCTTGATTTGTTTCCTAGCCGGTCAACATGCAAGCCGAAATAAATAAATATTCACATAGCACGTAGGATGCATTAGGATGGTCGGTTGTTTTGGGTCCACCTGTCCTAGACGGACCCAACCCATGTGTTGAGTCCCCAAGGTCAAACACACGTGATCCAAATAAATGTTCCTACTAAGGATCCGACATGAGGTTACGTTATTCTAAGCTTAAACCTGGGGTTGTGTTCTAGACCTGGCTTACCCGAGTGAACAGACTCGAGCCGAAGAGGGGGCAATGTACCGGGAGTACGAAAGTCTGTCCGGCCTTGTTGCTTGCCCAACCTCGTTCTATTTAGTATAACTTCTAATAGAAAAAGTGGGCCACGCGAATGTGTGCATAGTTTTTTTAGAAGACTTAGAAGGGAGGCGTAAGAAGATATTTAAATATAGTTCAAGTAATATCAAAACGGTAAATAAATAGTAATTAGCACATTAGGTACACAAAATACAATAATATCAACAATAAATAAAGCTAAATAAAAATCACATTAACAAGCTCGAATTCTTGAACACTGAACCAGAAGTTCTAGGTTCTTAGTCCCCAGCGGAGTCGCCAGAGCTGTCACACCTCCTTTTTTACCACCCGAAATGGGGATATAAGGGAGTTTTTCCAATTAAAGTGTCACTAATTGAAATGAGATTATTTTATTTATTTTTAGAGTTGCCATTTGGAATAATTTCTTTTGTGTCCCAAGTCACCGGTTTATTTTAAAATTCCAAATCGAGGAAGTTTTCGACTTTATTTAAAAGTCTGTGAACCAAAAATTCTGGATAAGGAATTCTGTTAACCCGGGAGAAGGTGTTAGGCATTATCGGGTTCCGTGGTTCTAGCACAGTCGCTTAGCAATTTATACTTGGCTTAAATTGTTTAACTACTCATTTTAGGACCTATGTTTATTTTACCTTTTACTGATATTAATCACTTGATAATCCGTATTTAAAGAATTAACTTAAGATGAGTTATGCGTACGTATACTTATTTCGTTTGGTGCGTCAAAAATCATGTCACGTGTACGTTTCCACAATTAAATACGCTTTATTATTATCAAGCAAGTGCGGTTGAAGTTGCGCGAACGCGTACCTCGATTTTGTTATTAGGATCATAATCATGTCAGGATCATAATCATGTCACGTGAACGTGTACACAATCACGATGATAGATTAAGTCGCGCCTAAAGGAAACTACGATATTTAGAATCATTTACCTCACTAAACTTGAGAATTCTTCAAAAAGTCATAAAACTATGTTGTTAAAGATTCTCATATGGTAGGTCTATCTCTAATCCCAGAGCTACTGCCAATTTTCTGTAGCGAACTTGAGTTGGTATTTGCCATTTAAACTTTGAAAATGGCTATGTGGATACTTCCTACATCCTTTGCCATGGGATGATGAATAGTTATCACAAGATATTTGACAATTTTTTTAAAGAGCCATTCAGTTATTTAAAAACAAACTGAAGTCAATCACCATTATTACAAAGTTGTTTGAAACTACATGTGTAATCCTAAAAACTTAAACGTGTTCAAGAGTGTTGAGGTCTGAGCCATCAGCATTTCGATTTGGTCCTTTCTGCCTTAGATATCACAGTTTTTCTTTTGTGGATATCACAGAGTAAACATCACAATATAGGCAGAAGCTTGTATAATTTCAATCTAGTATAGGCCACAAAATAAAACATTATGCTGATGCTGTTGTGAATTGTAGATTAAAAAAAACATGGAACTACACCATTATTGGAGACCAAATAAAAATTCATAGATAATCTCCAGTATATACAATAGCTAGCTTTACAGGGTTATCAAACAATCAGATACTAGAAGAGACTCCTCATTGAGTCATTATTGGAGATTAAAATGAACCAACTTTGAAAAATAAAAGGGGCGATCTTCACATGTCAATCCACTAGGAAATTATTCCATCCAAGAATTAACATACTTCACCATCACTACTGTTTCAAAGAATCAAATGCTAATATACTGTAATGACTTCATTTCACAAGTGAATCAATTCATCAACCATGAACAAATATTGACATGCACACAAAGCAAAATGATTTGTAGTTAAACATCAGGATTCCAACAGATTCGTCATGTTCATAGAGTTAACAACTCAAATATTCATTCATTTTTTCAAATAGAAAATAACAGAAGTAAGCGGACGCACCTAAAGGCAGAAAACATCAATTAGAGGACCAAATAGAGGTATGAACTTTAAAGCTGGAGCGCAGCAGCTCCAAAAACAAACAGCCCCAGCAGATTCAACAACTTCAATCGCTCAAACCATTGAGAGAAATCCCAGAAAATGTGCATTTATTGAATGAAAACCCGAAACCAGGTTTAAATCTTCCTTTTCATCATTTTTTTTCTTTCTTTTTTTGATTTTTCGGAGTTCTTTTTTTTAGATATGAAATTCGGTACTTTTAAATCCAGATGTTTCTATTTGTGAAAGTGAGAAAGGAATGAAGAAGGAGAGGGGGAATAGCGTTGTTCTGGGTCTGTGAGATGAGGAATGGAGCAGCGTTTGTTTTTGGGTGTTGAAGAAAATGGGGAAGAAGCCTTTTTCTTCTTGGTCTAAAAGAATATGAGAAAATCTGATTGTGGTCATTAGGTCTTAACTAGGTTAAATAGAGCTAGGGTTATTTTAAGGGTAGGGAATGGGTATTGGGTAAAATAATTGGGCTGGAATGTGGGTAATTGGGTTATTTGAGATTTTTGGGCTTCAAATTAAGCTGGCCCAAACGAAATTAAAAGACCAAATCTACTTATTTTCTTTTGTTTTTTCCTTTTTCTTTTCTTTAATTAATTAAAATCCTAATTCAATTTATTTTGTAGAAACTAAAATTCTTTATTTATTTTTAACATTAAAACAACTAATTAACTTAAAACTAAAGAAAAATGCTAATTTTAATGTAACGACCCGACCGGTCGTTTTGAGTTTTAGCATGTTCTTCGGCGGTTTGAGGCCATGAACACCTTCACTTCAAGTATTATGACTTGTTCGCATCGTCGGAATTGAATTCCAGGAAGTTCAGAGTTGATTTGCAAAGAGAATTCTCATTTCGGAAGCTCTAAGTTGAAAGAATTGACTAAGGTTGGATTTTTAAGTAAACGACCTCGGAATCGGGATTCGAAGGTTCCAATAGGTTCGTATGATGATTTCGAACTTGGGCATATGTCCGGACCGGATTTTGGAAGACCCGGGAACGTTTCAGCACCTATTGTGGAAGTTAGCATTTTTGAAAGAATTTCATAAGTTTGGGTTGAAGTGCATTTCAGGGTTATCGATGTCCGTTTGGTATTTCAAGTCTAGGAATAGCTCCATATGGTGATTCTGGGGTTGAGAGCGCGATCAGAAGTGAATTTGGAGGTCCGTAGGTCATTTTGAAGTCATTTGGCCAAAGATAGAAATTTGAAGGTTTTGGAGAAGTTTGACCGAGAGTTGACTTTTTGATATAGGGGTCAGAATCCGATTCCGAAAGTTGAAGTAGGTCCGTAATGTCGAATATGACTTGTGTGTAAAATTTGAAGTCAATCGGGCGTGAATTGATGGGTTTAAACATCGAAAGTAGAAGTTTGAAATTTTAAAGTTCATAAAACTTGGATTGGAGGTCGATTCTTGATTGTAGCGTTGTTTGATGTGATTTGAGGCCTCAAGCAAGTCCGTAATGTGTTTTGGGACTGGTTGGTATGATTGGTTGGGGTCCCGGGGGCCTCGAGTGGATTCCGGATGGTTAACGGATCGAATTTGGAGTTTGAAGAAGAGCTGAAGTTGCTGGTTGCTGGTGTAACCGCACCTGCGAGTCTAGGGCCGCAGGTGCGGAGCCGCAGAAGTGGCCCTATGGTCGTAGATGCAATATTGGCGGAAGAGAGTTGGGCCTGCAGATGTGGTCGTTTGGCCGCAGATGCGGAACTGCATCTGCGGTAGAGAGAGCGCATAAGCGGAATGGGCTGGGGAGCCCCGGACCACAGAAGCGGTAATTGGTCTCGCACCTGCGAAACCGTAGAAGCGGTCAGGAGACCGCAGGTGCGGAAAGTGCTGGAGGTGGTGGGTGTTTTAAAAATCGGGGTCTTGGCTATTTTCTCTCATATTTTCTTGGCTTGGGCGATTCTTGGAGGGTTTCAAGAGGGGATTTTCATCATCAACGATAAGGTAAGCTATCCCCCACCTATCTTGAGTTAAATACATTGATTATGTACGAATTTGGGCATGGAAATTGGTAGAAACTTGGGGTTTGAGGGAAAACCTAGAAAATTGATATTCTTGGAATTTGACCACGATTTTGGGTATGAAATTGAGAGTAAATTAGATATTTGAGTTTGTGAGGTTATGGGTAAAGTTTATCTTCGATTTTTTTTTGGAATCTGGGCATGTGGGCCCGAGGGCATATTTGTCAACTTTTCGATCGGGGTTAGGAATTGTTAGGGGTAATTGAGTATATATTAATAGATTGGTATTATTATTGGCTAGTTTTGGAGCATTGTGCATCGATTCGAGTCTTCGGAAGAGCGTGGAATGCCGGTTATGGATCTTCGGAGCGAGGTGAGTCTCCTTTCTAACCTTGTAAGAGGGAATTATCCCCATAGGTGAAATAATTGGTTATGTGCTCCTATTTGTGGGGGCTACGTACGCACGAGGTGACGAGAGTCCGTGCGTAGCTACTAATATGTGTAAGTCCGGGTAGTCTAGG